CCTTGGCTCGAAAAGCCAGTTCTGGGAGGTATATCGTCCATCGGCCAAGAGCAAGATCCTGGAGATCATGCAACAGGTGGCGGCTTGGGACTACTCGACCTTGCTACAGCAAAAGCAGAGCTTGGTGACGTTCTTTCGGCCGCGAGCTCGCGAGTTCTACTTTGAATGGAACCAACCTTTGGCTTCACCTGTGCCTCCGCCGCCCGCGAGACAGGAGACGGTCTTCGAGCGCTACGCCTTCGACCGGTGCAACAGCAATGAGGAGTGGACCCGTCGGTGTTACCAGCTTTGTTGTGAAGGAGGCGGTCAGAAGCAGAATCCGTCCTGGTTTCGGATCTCCCGTGGCAAGCTCGTCTGGCCCAACAGCAAGAACATGAGGGCTGACTACGACGGCTCCAATTGCTGGCCAATGCTCTTTGTGCGCTTCGACGCACTCCCGCCTGAACTGCTGGAAGAGGTTCAAGAAGCTACCAGCACCGGAACCGTCGTCTGCTGCACCCAAGAAGAGCATGCGTCGGCCAGCAGCTGCCGGCCCACGCTGACGAGGAGTTGCACGATCGACCTCGCTCGCCTGTATCTTACAGAGCACTTCGAAGCCTTCGGCCTGTATCTTACAACACACTTAGAAGACTTTTCTAGCTGCATGGCATGTTGTGGGTATGCAAGGAGACAACCAAGTACATATCCTCAAGCTAACAAGACACACTTGGAGGTGCTTAGCTTGCGAGTCCTAGGGAAATCCTATGTAAATGCACACCCGAATCCCAAAGCAAGTATAAACCAACATAAAAAAAGTAGGGGACTAACTTTGAGGCCTCACAGCCGTTATCCCTTGCCGCACACCTGCAGCATGCCCGTGTGCAGCTCGACGCTTCCGAGCATCTGCAGTCAACAGAAAAAAAAAGGAGCGCAAGAGCTCGACACAGTGCTGAGCGCTGCCGTGCAGAGTTGTTGCTGAGCGGCGGGAGATGTCGGGCGCAAGAGGGTGCTTTCTGCATGACTCGGAATCTTCCTGAACGGCCGGAAGGGCGGTGCACAGTCGCATCGTGGCCTCGTCTCCACCTTCCACATGTGTTTGTTTTAGGAGCACTCGTTCTCGAGGTCTCAGTCACACGCTCTGGAACAAGCCGAAACGAAAGGGAAGGGCAGGGAAACGAATTCAAAGTGGGCAGCCTCTACAAGGCAAAGGTTTCGTGAGCCCTCAGAGTGAGAGGGATCCAAAACGTCAAAGAGGATCAACATCAAGGAAGCCAGGAACGATGCCGTGCCGTGCCGTTGCACTCTGCAGCCAACCGCCTTCCTGCAGACCTTGGTTCGATATCTGTGGTGGTCTCGACGACATACTTGGTCCTGCATTCAGTTTGCAGGATCGGCCAGCAGACGCACATGATCAGCAGTGCCTTCGCAGCACTTCGGTCGCCGCATGTCGCTGCGTCGCTGCGCCTTTCGCCTTTGGGCTTTTGGCCGCACGAGGCTTGAACACCTTGCTGCTCTCGGCGCTGATGGAGGCCGGAGGCCCTGGAGGATCTGGAGGAGTCTGAGGGGCTCTGAAAGCCTGTGGAGATTGAGTTGGAGTTGTCCTTGGCCGCCTGAGAGGTGCTTCACCGCAACGGCATCACCATTCTGGTGCAGCTCGCAATGTCCCCATGGGCTGTGCAACGGATACGAGGAATGAGAAGAAGTAAAGACAGCGAGAGCAAGTGAGGGGGCGAGCATCATCGCCATGGTTGCTGTTGCTGCCACCGGCACGCCAGCCCTGCACCTGGCATGTTCCTACCTCAGGATGTGTGTCGTTTTGAGAAGCGTCAGTCGTACATGGGCAAACAAAGTGCCATCCGTTCGGAGTTTAAGCGTAAAACGCTGCAGGCATTCCGACGAGGGGAGTTGTGGTCGTTGGTTCCCTGTTGCGGAGACTCTGCACCTTTGTCAGGTTGCCTTTGGTGTTCGGTCATTCAGATGGATGAAAGCCGGGATCGTGTGTCTGGATTCCTGTTCTGAGAGTGTGGACGGCAGCATATTCCAAGTTGACGTGTTTTTGATCAGGTCCAAGATGATTAGCACCTGTGCTCATTACCAATGGTGGCCGCGCACACGTGCAGGGAACATCTTGCTGCAATGCTTCGAGCCACTGCGATTGCATGTTGCCTCTCCGCGAGACGGGGGTTCGCATGCACCAGAAGCGACCTCGCACCCCAACCCCTTCGACCGTTGTGCGAGCGCAGAGCTACCAACACTTTTTTTGCAACAGGTGACGCTTTTGGACGATGCACATCTCGGTAAGTATACTAGGGCTAACCAAGGCATCTCGACCATTACAGAGTCTCAGACTCGTCCTGGGCTGCACGCCAAACCGACACCGTGGTAACCCGCGGGAACTGTCGGAGATCAGGTATTGCAAAAGGCAACCAACAAACCCGAGGCAGCCTGCAGAGCTCCCAGCAAACTAAGATCAGCAAGCGCTGAAACCAAGCTGGTAAGCCAGATGATGGGATTGTCAGCGTGATTTCTAATTCTTTTGTTTCAAGGGACCAACACGACCACCATGGAGAGGCTATTCCCAATGAAGGAGCGATTGTGTCCAGGAGGTTTCAGAGGAGAGTCGCCCTCGCGAGGAGTACGTGCAGTTGAAGGAGCAGGCCTTTCCTGGGCAGTGGCCTCTCTCATCATATCTCCTTTCGCCTGGGAGCTCAAAGGTGTACTGCCCGGTTGGCCCCGGCTTCTACCGTGGGACGCTCACGCCATCTCAGGCCCTCAGCTTGTCAATGCCGTGTCGCCACTCAGGTCGGGCCGGCACCGAGAATCTCGAGGTCATCCTTGGATCTAGGCTGCCGTGAAGAAAAGTGTCTTGCACGCTGTCTTGGTTTTGTTGAGGTTTGCCTTGTGGATTGGAGTCTGGGTTGATCTGGGTCGGTTGAGGTGAAAAAGGACCACCCGCGCAGACAGTACACGGAGCCAATGTGCGCTGGTTGCGTCGATTTTGGGCGGGGAGGCCTGCGCGGGGCCACGTCGCAGGGATGCGAAGGGCAAGCGGAGCGATGCGGCGACGTGGTGACGCAACCCAGAGGGTGTCTGAGGCGCAGGCCTTGCGTCCCTTGTCGCTCGTGTTCCCACGACAAGAAGAAGGTGGCGACATGAGCTCCATGAGCATCGAATCATCACTCCTTCTGCTCTTTGCCTCTTCTGTAGTGGTCGTTTAAGTAACTGGTGTAAGTGCGACGTAGTTCCGGTGGCTTCTGATTCACAGCCATACGACACGAAACAGGTGGTGGCTCCGCTTGCTTTTTCCGCTTCGCGGATCTGTTGATATAGGTGCGACTCTTCTCGCATGGCAGACAGACTTGGTGACAGTAGCTGGTGCCTTTCCTCCCAGGTGCAGCGCTTGCACCTCGTCCAAGTGCAGAAGGCACCATCACACCAGGGGTGCCTTTGGGAACCTTTTTATGTGCAATGCGGTGAGGGTGGACACAGTGCAGAATTAGGGGTTGGGGGAAGGGGAAGTTCCAGTCGATCTACTGAGCAGAAGTGCAGTACTAGTGCGTACAGGCTCCCTGGATCTGACATCCTGCAAGTTAACCAAACCTGCAGCTGCTGAGACTCTTGTCGTTCTGATCCTTGAGACCGTTGAACCAAGTGGAATGTCTCTGAAACCCGTTACGGGCTTCAATGCGGCAGAATGTGCATCTAGGAGAAGCTTGAGTGGTACGGAATTAGCAGATCTCGGCACTTCCCGGCAGGTTCTCGGGCACTGTGGGATCGCATCCAGCAAGTGAAGGCCTGTGCAGTTCCGCCTCTCCGCCGGGTCGCGCTTGTTCCATTCCAGGAGCAGGGGGTGCGACAGGAAGTGCGGCCGGGCACCGAGCAGCCAAGCACAAAGCCGCTTTCCGCCGCTTTCCGGCTTCCGCTGAACCGCAGGAGCTGCCAGGAGCTCGGCTTCGATCCCGGCCCCGCCACGGCGGCCAGCACGGTGTGAGCCACAACATCCTGCGACGCCTCCATGAAAAGGGACAGTTCTGAGTTTCTGAGCTTGTGGCTTCCTGGGACATCCCACACCGGGCAACGAACTTCTGCAGCTGTGAATGAGGGGCACGCTTTATGGGCAATTCTCAAGAAACATTACAGACTGATCTCGATTACATCTGTTACATCTCTGAGAGAGTTTCTTCTTGTCCTTTTCTTGGATGTGCATCGTGCATGTCGCCGAAGCGGCGTCCTCTTGCCGACCCGCCAACATCCGCCAACCCGCCGGCCGGTGAATGAGGAAGGCGACGGCTGCAATCGGACAGGGTGTCGGGGTGACAGTCAGACCGGGACCAGGCGGATGTTGCAGCGTTCTGCGCAGGCAGCCAGCGCAGAGCCAGAGCAAGGCGGAAACCTAGCCACTTTCTTTCAGTGTGGTACAATGAAAGAGAGTGCATCCAAGCAGATGCGCGACACCTGGTCTGGGGGAGACCGGAAATTGAAAGCTCAAGTTCGGCCGGGTCCTCTGTGGCATGGGCTTGGCAGAGAATCTGATTTCGGCTTCATGTGGGGAGGTATGTGCTGTACGATGCTGTACCATGCATGCCGTTTCGGAGTTGTTGCTTTGGGGCATTCTCGTACCGCAATGTACCGCAATCATGAAGGAAAGTTGGAAGTTGCCAAGGCTTCGGTCCTTACCGTGTATGCACGGTTCTTTAAGGGTTGCAGTCTAGGGCTCCGTAGTGCAAGCACCTGGGGCCACCGCCAAGGGCGACGATCTGGACCTTTTCAGCCCGTATGAATGTACCGAGGCTCACAGGCCAGGCGGCGACTGCAAGCTTTTAGGACAGTTTTCGCTTTGTGTTGCTTGGCAGGGTGCCCCAGGAGGTCGTTGTGTCGGCTGCCAGGACAGGCAGCCACATCACAGACTTGTCATGGGGTCTGAGATTCTGATTCCGGCTCTGTTTCTCCCATTCGACTGTATACAGTTGAAGACGTACAGGTCTTTCAAGCCCTCTTGTACAGTATCTGGACAGTCATGTTGTTGACCATGGACACATTTGGCTCAAGACACAAAAAGAGTGAATTGCACGTTGTGTCTTGCTTTACGTGTATACCACGCAAATAACTGGTTAACAGCCTCAGCTACGTGGACACTTTGGTAGGTTGATTGGTAGATCCTCTCGCCGCCATTGTGCCCCTCCATATTTCATATCTTCACTCTCCCGTCCTTGGTAGAGAGTTGCTCATTGCACTGAAACGAGCCAGAGCCAGGCTCATCACCTTTTCATACCTGTGCAGGTCACCGTTGGATTTCCACGTGACCGAAAGAGATTAGCATAACGTACCTTCATATTTGGGCTCAGTTCATCAAAGCATTGCGCGAGAAGCGCAGGACACGCTTGTGGATTGAACAGCCAACAAACCATTGGAGAAGGCTTGTTGTAGGTGCCATTGATTCGTGGTACCGCATAAGCTCTTTGATCTACCAACTAACTCGGATCCACAGACTTCAACAACTGCGATACGCAGACGACGCGTTGAGCTTCGGGTTACCTAGGTATTACCCTTGACAGGCTTTTGACGCGCCTGCTGCCGCTGCTTGCTCCGAGGTACGCTTGGTGAAACCCAGACTGCCTTTTTGACAAACGACCACCCATAACCTCTTGGCAATTGCCTAGTACGAGGGGCGGGCTTATTCGGTCGTTGCGTAGGGTTGTCTTTGTGGGGTTGTTCGGTTGAGTTCCTTAGCGGTTGACTCCCGTGCACCCCAACTGCAAACAGAACATCAGCACCGTTGGACGCTCCACGTGCTGCATCAGCCATCCTGTTTCAGGGCTTTCGGGGGTCGTTGGTACGCCGCACTCCTTTGCCCTGTGCGGCTCAGATCAGCCGGTTGACTGCTGAGTTTCCTTCCCATTGACCATCACCGAGACCCCAATCCCATTTCAATCGTTAATCCCGGCCTAGACTGAAGTCCAGCTCAGGCATTGCGCATTTCCCAACCTTTTTGTGCATAGGCTTGCCACCATTGCCTAGGCTTACGGGGTTGGATTCTGGGAATACTGGGTGACATTACTCGGCCTCGCCAGCCTTGTCTCGGCGCTAGATTCGCAAAGGCTTGCCACCAGTGCCTAGGCTTCAGGGAGGTTCGAGATTGGGATCAGATTCAGTTGGGTTACCTTTGTCGGCCTCACCAGCCAAATCTCGGCTTTGTTTTACCCCATGGTTGCGTGGGACGATTTCGTTGCGGCGTACGGCCGGATTGATACAGCAGAAGACTTGAGTGGTCGTATTGAGAAGGCGGCGAGCAGGGGAGGCGATCAGGCACCCAATGGAACATCCGACTACCGTCGTCGGAAGGCCGTGCTGTTCGTCGCTCTCAGGGCTATCATACAGATTGTTTTGACTTTGGAGAGCCCCGGTCTTGATCTACTTCGTATTAGAGAGGCCGAGTTGGAGGGTTCCCAGTCATTGCCAAGGGGGTACGTGCAAACCTACGTGTTGGAACTGTTTTCTGAGCTCCGCGCCCTCTTCCCTTCTGTACCTGAGCCTGCGACTCCTTCTGTTGCGGAGAGAGGGCGAACTCGTTCGCCTGCACGTGCCGCTTCAGCAAATAGAAACCTTGATTTAGGTGTAGGTGAAACCTTGCCTAGTGGTCGACCCTGTCCTCCTCAGCCACCCGTTAAATCCCCAGGTCCATCTCGTGCCCCATCGATCCCTGGCAGAGCTGTCAAGTCAAACGCAAGACCTCGTACGAGCCAGGACTGGGACGCAGAATACCCAACTTTAGCAGAATCGTTTCAGTTGAGTTCCCAAACACATCGGGATTTCAAATCGGGTGAGGTTTGTGATTGGACAGTAGAGCAGTGGGAAGAATACAACGCCCGGGAAGAACAACGGTCCCTACAGGCTTCTTCTTCTGCTGCTGCGTCCATTGGCCCGCGTGTTTCAGTCTCTTCGCCCTCCGTTGTTGTTGTGCCGGATGAGCCAACTTTTAATGGACCTGAGTCGGCGTTTGATGGATCTGTGACCGCGTCGTTTGATGGACCCGAGGCTGCGCCGATCGATGGACCCGTGGTTACGCCGAATGCACCTGTGTCCGCGTTTCTTGCGTTTGACTTTCACGGTGTCTTGGATATTTCCTTTGATGATGCTCGACACCTGTTGGCTGAGCTTCAGGGGAACCTCCCGCCAGGCTTGTCGTTGGAGGCGATCTGCTTGACTTATTCTGGGTATCAACGCGGATTGCAAACTCAAGAGACTTTGCGGCGTGAACTTCCTCAGCTTGAGTCTTTTATCTGCAAACGTCCATTGGGCCACGGCGGGAAGGCAGAGGCATTGGAATGGTATAGCAGGGACAGAAACATCCCGCGGAGTGCCATTGGTATGGTAGACGATCGTACAGACATCCTCCGCGAGGTGCGCGGCCGTGGGTTTGTTGGCTTTCACTTGCCCGATGGCCAAGATCTGTCATCGCTGCTGCCCTCCATCACTCAGTGGCTGATGGACCTGTAAAAGGTGTTGTTTGAGGTATTTGCCACTTCAGTTTCTTGTTCAGGGTGTTCAGGGGGTATCCTGGATTCCACGATTCTTTGGCACCATGGCGTCCTCTCCAGACAACACCTCCCCCGAACAGGGATCCGCTGACTCACTACAGATTTCATCGAGCAGCGGGCATCAAGTACCCGCGATGTCGGTTGTTCCGGTTGGTGGGGTTTCGATTGGTGACGATAGCAAATCTTCACCAAGGCCTAGGCGAGCATTAAGCGCCGGGAACCGGCGTGGTCCAAGTCCTTACCCCGCTACCCCCGGTAACACATCACGCCGAAATCGAGCTTCTTCCCCATCGACCAAAGCGAAAGCCGAAGCTTTAGCATTGATTCCACCGCCTGCTTACGCATGTGAGGTTTCTAGACCTGTTGGGATTCCGGTTTCGTTCGCACCGGGCGATGGTCACTCCACCCCGGATGTGCATTTACACCAGCACAACCAGCAAGTTCGACAGGAAGTGCATTTGCATGGGGTTGACCCTAAGGCCCACTCTCAGGCCATTGCATCCGCGCAGTTGGCGCACATGCAGGCTCAGAGCATCCAACATCAAGCGCAAGCATTGGTTCAGGGTGTCGCGATTGAAGCGCAAAGTGCAGTAAGTTCGGCACAACAGGATGCCAGACAACAGGCTTTTGAGTATAGCAATAAGCTTCGGGATGAGGCCGAAAGACAGGTACTCATGATATCCCAGGAGGCAGTAGAAGATATACGAGCAAATCTGTACTTTTGCTTTGACTTGGTCAGGTATCTCCATCTGCAATGAGGCCTTGCTGCCCGCAGAATGAGAAGGCTCACGCATCTTCATGTGCACACTCCACGCATGACATGTACAGGACGTCATATGCATCTGAAGTTAGGCAGTTCAACACAAGCTGTATACTGACGACTTTGGCTCAAGCGCCGCCCTTAGTGTAAAAAAAAAAGTGCGACCGCGATTTGATTGCCATTCTTTTGGTTATCAGCCGTAGTCTCTGCCGAGGGCGAGCTACGTGCTTCTTCATTGGACCTTTGCTTTTATTGTATCCACTTTATTGCTCCCGACTTTGTTGGTCTGCGATTCAGTTGGAAACAGTTTGAGCGTTGCCCCTTCTCGGCGTTTATCGCAGCATTGTATCTTGATAACGTCTTCGTCTTTTTCTCTGCGACGGAGAGCAGACCACATTGCAAACATTACTTCGCACTGCCCTGCCGGGGCACACCGCTTGATCTTTGATTCTTTGAAGGAGGTGAAAGCGGTGAAGCGCGGTGGTCAACGCGGAATCGAGCAATTGCAAAAGTGGTCGATCGGGGTTCAAAGACGGGTAGACAATAACGAGATCTCTTACAAGGACTTTTTGATCTCTGAGTTGGGGATCGTTGCAAGCAGGGCATCTGAAATATTGGCCAGCCACGGTCTACGGGAGCCATCAGCGGACGCGGCAGGTGCTGAGTCTTCTTCGGCGAGCTCCTCGCGACCATTGCAGCGCGAACCTGAACCATCCGAGGAGGAAGTGGAAGCCTTTGCTCCTGCTCCGAAGATTAGGCGATTGGTTCCTCCGCCGCAGCCTTTGCGTCCAGTCTTCGCCGACATAAGGGACGAGTTTGAAGTCTACTTTTGGAATCGGTATCAACAGGATTTTGTTTTGGCATCGAGTGGTATTCAAAAGCTTGGAAGACCTTCTGGGCGCCACATTGCTGTCGACTACAATTGGGTCTTGAACTGTTTCCAGAACAGGCGCTTGCGACCAGGCGATTTGATCCACGCAACATTGAGGTTCTTTTTGCGGCTCAGGCGGAGCATCCGGACGACAAGATAACCATTGTCTCTCAGGTCGAATCGGCTCAGCTGAAGGCGAACTTATTGGATACGATCCGACGCACATCAGCTTTGCATCCGATTCTTCATTTGGTCGCGACAACTCCGCGGAAGGTGGGACCAACTGGTAAAGCTTCATTCTTGCGTGCCCTAAGCGGCAACGTATCCGACTGGGTCGTCATTGACGACAATCTGGAGGTGCTTCAAGAAGTTGCTGATCAAGGTGGACGTCCTCTTCACGTGTGGGTGCGCGGCAGGGAGTACGGACCTGATTCGTTGTCCTGGTGCACGGGATTGTCCGAAGCCGGCTCGCAGATCACAGAGCTCCGAAATCAAGATTATTGAAGGGACTTCAAGGAAGAATGTCAGATTTTGAGGCACGTAGCAGATCAAGCAGAGGTGGGGATACAGTGGATAGCAGCTCATCCGGAGGTTCGGTTTCGGGAGCTGTGGTTCCTGCATCAACCGTGAGGCTGAATCCATGCAAGCTTCACCTCAGCACCTCAGTAGCTTCTTAGCTTCTCCTAGCACTGATTCGGCAAGCCCACCGTCCACTCAAACCATGTCCCGAGCAGTTGTGGCCCCGCTGCCCCAAAGCTCGAGTACAGCCTCGGGTTCTGTTCCGGGTTTTGGAGGTTCGGAGGGTCCTAACACGCCCTGCACCACACCCAGGTTTTGAATGTGACTACTGATCCCATCTTGGTTTCAGAGGCCCTTGCTGCCCGACAAGAAACCGCAAATGTAACAGCCCAAGCCAATCAAGCCCTTGAGCAAGCCAGGCTAGAAGTCATCCAAACAAGGGGCCAAGCCGAAGGCCTAGTACAACAAGCTTCCCAAGAAGTCGTGCAGGTTAGAGGCCAGGCCGAAAGCATCGCAGGCCAAGCAGCCCAAGAGGTAGCCCAAGCCAGAGGCCAAGCAGCCCTAGGGATAGACCGCGCTAGGCAACAAGCGCAGGAGGCTATAAGGCAAAGGGATCAACATCAAAGGTTGGTAGTCGCACAGGCTCAAGATGAAATTCAAAGAATACAAGAAGCCGCTAACCGTAGGGTTCAAGAATTGGAGCAGGAATTCCTCGAAGCTAAACAAGAGCTAGAAAGGAAGATCGCAGAACTTGGAGGCCAAAGGAGAACAGTGGAAGCCAACAAGATTGAAACCGATAATGGCGCGGAATCAACTCGGATCACCAATCCTAGCGAACGAAAGTCCGAGCAAGCAACAGGTGCCTCCCCCAAAAGGAACACCAACAAGCCCGAGGATAGATCAACAAGGTCTCCTTCAGAGCATTTTGTTCTGGGTTTGGGTTCCGAGTTTCAGGTACCTAAGTTGCAATTCCCAAATATCCCCGAAGAGCATGCCATCCCGATCTACACGCCACCAGGCCGTACGGATCCCCAAGTGCAACTTCAACTGCAAACCTTGACCCAGCAAGTTCAATCCTTGAGCTCAGCATTACAGTCGCTTTCTGCGACAGGTGGGAGCGGAGGCCTTGCAGCCCTGTCTCCCACCGGTGCGCGAGCAGGAAAGGCTAAGGATACTAGCCAAAGGTCAAGGGGAAGTGGTTCATTGGATTTGATCGGTGGGGATCCTGGATCATCGAGCTCTAGCAACAGTAGTGATAGCGATGACAAAAGGGGCGACGGTGGAAGGGATGACGATAAAGGAATTGAATCAAGTAGCTCGTCCAGCAGTTCATCTTCGGATTCGGAAATGGACCCTTACAAGAAAGAAAAGAAGCTGATGAGGGTAAAGGGTTATGATACCTTGAAGATTCCAGCGATCCCTAAGAATGCTGCAGAAGCCAGGGGTTTTCGCAACGCAGTCTTCAGTGCCATCAACAAGCTTGCCAAAGGGGATGAATCCAAGATTTTAGCGTGGATCAGTTTGACCCAAAGTTCCCATGATCAGCATGACTTCGCAAATTCTGGAAGTTTCCCGCTGCTTGACCGTATTCTGGGCCATAGGCTGCTTGAACTTTGCAAAGGAACCCGCTTTAGCCTGGACTTCCAAGCACTCCAGGAAGGCGCCCAAAAGATTGGCAAACAGCCCAAGGGTAGGTTGCTGTTGTGGCACGTGTTCCAAAGGTTCAAGATGGATAAAGATAAAGGTACGGCGTTAACGCAGCATCACCTCCTTTCTCTAGTCATTCATGGCAATGATGTGAAAGCACTTGAGGAGTTTCGCCAGCGGTTCAACTACATATGGGAGGCCCTAGAGATCCCTGAAAGGCCCACTGAGGCAAGCATTCGCTCATTGTTGTTTGAACAGCTGCAGGCTCACCAAATGATGCAACTTCACATTGATCGCTTCCGCAATGCATCCTCGCAGTCCAGTAAAAGAACTTGGAAATGGTTGTATGCTAAGATGTGCGATGTCATTGAAATCAGCCAGCTCGAAGACAACGCAGACGCCATTGATAAAGCATTGCGACCAAAAGGGCATGCAAATGCCAACCCGGCACCAAAGGCGGAAGGCGAAGGAGCAAGAACCAAGAAGGAAAAGGAGAAGGAGAGAAGGGATAAAGAAGAGAAAGACAAAAAGGAAAAGGAGAAGAAGGAGAAGAAGAAGGAAAAGGAAAAGGCCAAAAAGGAGAAGAAGAAAGCGGAGAAACAGGCTCAGGAGGAAGCAGAAGCAGCCGCCGCTGCAGCCCCGCCGAAGGGTAAAGGAAAAGGCAGAGGCAAGTCGCCACGAACTCCCAAAACAAAGGATGAGAAAGCGAAACTGCCTTGCATGTACTTTGCCTATGACGCGTGCACTGCTGGTGATAAGTGTGAGTACAGCCACGACAAAGACAACATGTACAAAGGCCCAAAGCCAAGAAAGCTTAAAGGTTCGTCAGCCGGAGCTGCTTCAGTTCTAGCAGGGGCGGCTTTTGCATCCGCCATCCCAGCCGCAGAGGCATCCATCCCAGACAGAGGCCACGCTGCCCAAGATGGGAAAGGTAGCCCAGCAAAGGACCGGAAGACGCAAGATGAGTTGCCTAGACCCCAGCCGCAACTGAAAGCATCAATCCGAAACCAGTTGGACCGAGCACGTCGAAGCCTAAGTGGCCTAAGTAGGAATACCGCTTTCAAAGGTGGTGTCTTGCAGAAGGTTTTCACAACAGTGATGACGGCCATGGCAATGTTGAACCCATGTTCTTCAATCAATGCATCGTCTAGTCCTGTTGTGGGTAGTGATGGAACTACTTTTGACATGGAGTTTCTTGTCGATAGTGGCGCAGGTAGAAACCTAATCGCAAAAAGGGATTTGCCTGCGGAAGTGCACTCGCATTTCGCCGATGCTCCGGAAAAGCTTAGGTTCTCCACAGGTGGTGGCCCGCGCTCGGGTACCAAGGCCGTTCGCATGAGAGGCGATTTCCTAGGAGAGAACTACTTCTACTCGCTGAATCAATGCCCGCCGGCAGTGTCCTTAGGAATCCAAGTCAACCAACATCGAAAACCGTTCATTTGGTTGCCAGGCGAGTTGCCATACTTTGTCAAGCCGGATAGGATTGGGGATATGACTTTGCATTGCCCAGCCTCAGCCAAGATACCGGTAGACAGAGTTGAAGAAAATGTTCCAATTATTCGGGAAAGAGTTACGTGCGGAGCCTTCCCAGCAAGTGGCCTTGAAGCTGTTTATGGTCGGAAAGAAGCGAATTTGCTTAATGCACCACTCCGCAGCAGCGTCAGTGACGGTCAGAAAGAAGCGAATTTGCTTAATGCACCACACCGCAGCAGCGGCCGGGACGCGCATCATGAGCATCAGCCTCTGGTCCGCCCAGCTGCCCCAGCGCCAGGAAGCTCCTCTAAAGGTCCAGCGCCTGGAGAGCACGATCCGCTAGGAAGCCTTTCGATTGATGAAGTTCCGCTTAAACCTCCCGAATCATCATCTTCTTCTTCAGATCCGATTCCAAAGCACATCCGACGACGTCACACCACAAAGGAAGCAGCCAGGCCAGAAGACCCGAAGGACCCAAGAGGCCCAGCAGCCCCAAGTCCAGAAGGGTTGAGGCTAAAGCCAGACCCATCGTTGCCCAAGTTTGGGAAGGATGATGAACTTTCCATGTGTGATGCCCCAGTAGCCACTGAAGCCGATGACCCAATAGACAGCGATGACGATGAAGAGTGGACTCCAAGTCTTCGCGAAAGGCTAATCGCCGAATCTAAGACCCTGAGACACCAGATGACGCATTTCCCAAAAAACAGGTATTGCAAAATCTGCAGACGCGCCAAAATGACAGGCAGAGTCCATAGGGCTAGGATTGAAGAAGACCCCGAGGAAACTCCACCGCTGCACTTCGGGCATAGGCTAAGGGTTGACCACATCATCCTAGGGCAAGATTTGACAAAAGGGTCGGAAGGTGAACAGGCCTGCCTCATTGCGTATGATGAATACAGCGGATGTGTGTCAGCATTTTCGCAAACATCGAGGACTACCGACAACAACATCGCAGCGTTGCAGAAATTCGGAGGTACCAGAGCCCACGGCAGAGCATTGTGCGCAGTGAAATCCGATTGCGCTCCCGAGGTCACTGAGGCTGTAAAGTACCTCGGGTGGCTGCCAGAACCAGGTATTCCTAATGACCCTTTCCATAATGCTCAACTAGAAAGGTTGATAAGAACCATTAAGGAAGGAACTAGAGCAGCGCAGTTAGCAGCAGGATTTCCTCATGCTTTATGGCCCCGGGCAATAGAATACTTCTGTGTCGCCAGGTCCTTTACAAATCCCGTACCTGTGCACGCTAACGATGCTCCTGAAACCGTCGCGTTCAAGGAAGGCAAAACATGCTACGAAGCCGCCAATGGAGGGAATACATTCGATGGTCATAGAATTCCTTTAGGCGCTTTGGTGTACTACAAGCCTCCTCACCACAAAGACCTCCCTGCGTTTCAGTCAAGAGCGTTGCCAGGGATATTTTGTGGTTGGCGCATGGATTCTGGATTCAAGTTTCGAGGCGTGCATTTGATTTTGGATTATGAAGCATTGAGGACAGATGCGAAAGGTTGTGGTAGACCCATCCAAGTCCATGCAACAGAAATGGTGACTCCTGAGACTTTCATCTTTCCACTGCAAGAAGCCCTAAACGAGAAGCTCGCGCTCTTCAAGCCAACCGCAGATCTGAAAGCGCTGGAATCTAGGGAAGCTTTGCCTTTCGAAAAGGGTGCCCCTGAGGCAAAACCTCGAGTTAGGCGCACATATGTTACCCTGGAAAGAGCACTTAAGTTTGGAAAAACTGTCGGTTGCAAGGGTTGTGACCGAATCGCCGAAGGGGTAAAGCATTCAGACGCATGCCACGAACGTTTCCGCAAGCTGCTCGAGGACGAGTGACGAGGCCGTAGCAAAGGCAGTTAGGGACAAAGAAAAGGCGAGACCTTCAGCTCCCTCCTTCGAGCCTCCACCGTCAGTTCCGCCAGACGTTCCAGATCCACCTGTGCCAGGTGCTTCCGGAAGGGTTTCCACAGAGGCCTTTAGCCGCCCAGGAACCACTCCGCAGCACGTTGCAAATGAGCACGAACTGGATTACTGGGAGTTTGATAAGGATAAGGTAGCTTGGAAACGAGTGCATGTGAGACCGCGCAAACGTTTGTACACCCCTGTAGGGCGAGCATGTCCATTCCAGTCCGACGTAGTTTCTTCAGCAAGGGAGACCGTATGGAGGTGCAGAGGCCGCGCATCAACGTTCAAAGACGATTGGCATGACAAAAGCCCGAATAGAAGAATCTCTTCCAAAAGTTGGGTCGGAGCCACGTGGTTCTATCCTAGAGGCAAGGTTGAAATTGCGCAAGCAGTGCTGGATACCATGAAAGCAAACGCTTCGGAGCAGTTAAGAAGATCACCTGCCAAGGGGGCCGCAGCAGTAGCATCGATCCTTCAAGACATCGAGTCAATGCATCCAGATTGCAAGGCCATGACTGCGGAAGCCAATGAGGCTGCCAAGCAAGTGCCGCAAGGATTGCCATATCGCAACCATCTTCTCAGGCAAGTTGGTAGCGAGACGATGTTCGAAATCTGTAACGATGAAATTTCTATTTTGGGTAAAGTCAATGAAGAATTCGGAATCAACCATTTCCGGTTGACCGACAAGAACACGGACGTCTCAGACCCTCAGCAAACGGAATCCCTTAAGAAGTTGGTACAGTTGTTTCCTGGTTGTGATTTGTGGGGATCTATTCCATGCAGTCACTCGAGCGATTGGCAAACCAAGAATAAGACTGAGCGGACATTGAGAGAAAAGCACAAAGTCAAAGCGAGAAAGCAACAGGCTCGCTCACGAAGAATTCTTAGGAACTTTCCAGCTGTAGCCGAGGTAGTGTTGGGTCAAGGGGGTCATGTGTCCTTCGAGTGGCCAAAGAGAGCAAAGGGTTGGGCTTTGCCAGAGCTTGCGTCCTTCATCAAGCGTCACAACTTGTATGAAGCGATAGCAGACGGTTGTGCCCACGGATCGTGCAACAAGGATGGTGTAGCGCACCAGGAACCTTGGCGCATCATCACTTCTTCATGGAAGCTAGCCCAGAACTTGGATGCTAAAAGTTTCCAGCGTGAGCCGGACTTCCATTGCTGCAAGGCTGAAGCAAGCAAGACTAGCCGTACCACCCGCTACCCTAAGTCCATGGCCTACACTATTCTTAGCAGCTTATACTCCAAGATTTCATCCGAAAGTGCAGCGATGCCCATCACCACTTTTGTGCAATCTCCTCACAGTCAGCGCGATCAAAAGGATTCCGTCTTTGCAGGGATTCATCATCCCATAGACCGGAAGGATTGGCACCGGCATCCGGGAGCTCAGGAATGCATCAACGGAGAGGCTCAGGGTCTCATCGCAAATGACACCTGGGACTATTCCGAGGTGGTCCCCAGAAGGAGCTCATGTCTCGGAAGGAGCCAATCAACGTGGGTCGCCTCATGACTCTCCTAAGCATCAAGCATTGGGAAACCCCTGAGTTGAGAAAACTCAAGGCAAGAATCGTGTTTAGAGGTGATGACATCAGAGACGAATCTAACAACCTTGCAATACTGCAAGAGTTAAAAGTGAGTCCCACAAGCATCACAGGTATCAACCTCAACTTAGCGTACGGAGCTGCTAAGAACCACAAATCTACACAAAGTGATGTGGTGAAAGCTTACCCACAAAGCGAGTTGAACACAAAAGTGCCTACCTGGGTTGAGCTTCCGGTTGAGCTAACTCCGAAAGAGTTCCAGCACATAGAGAAGCCATGCGTCCGCCTGAAGCGCGCATTGTATGGACACCCGGAGTCGGGATACCATTGGAATGCCCGTTTCAAATCTGTTGTTGAAAGCATGGGAGGCAAGCACTGTGAACTTTTCCAAAGCTCATATTGGTTTGCAGATTCCAAACTACTTTTAACACTGTATGTGGACGACATCATTCTCTCTGGACCGGAAGGCGCTCATGATGCTTTTTGGTCTGAGCTCCAGACACACCTGGAAATCGAACCACCCACACCGGTCGACAGAGTGTTAGGAAGGAAGCACTTGTTTGAGAAAACTGCATTAGGCTCCAAAATGCGGCACAACATGTCGGATTACGCTGCAAACGCATGTAGCTTGTACGAAGAATTGCCCGGCCGCTCTCTGAAGCCTGCAGCAACCCCGTTCGTGCCCGAAGGTAGCCTTTTGGCAACAGATTGGGAAAGTAAAGGGGCTCTTTCACCAAGTGCATCTCGCATACTTATGAAGGCGTTGTGGTTGGCACGATTATCCCGTCCGGATTTGATGAAAAGCATCTCAGACCTCACGAGACGAGTAACCAAATGGAGCGTAGCCGACGACAAAAGACTGCGTCGATTGATGGCTTACCTGAAAGGCGCGCCTGACCTGTCAATCGTTCACGAAATAGGGGATTCTTTTGAGGATTTACATCTTAGCTGCTTGTACACGGACGCGGACCACTCAGGAGATGTGGACCACGCGCAATCCACAAGTGGTATGATCCTCTGCCTGGAGGGAGAGCATTCTTACTGGCCCTTTGCTTGGGGAAGTAAGAAACAAACCGCCACAAGCCGCAGCACCACGGAAGCTGAAATGATATCTCTTTGCGCCGGCGTCTTTGGCGATGCATTGCCAACCCAGGAATTCCTTGAGATGTTGACAGGGAAGGAGACTAAACTTATCTGTCACCAGGACAACTCCGCAGTTATTGCCATCGTGCACGCAGGCTATTCTCCTAAACTCCGACACGTGAGTATATAAGACTCACAGAGTAAACCTATCATCTCTATATGAAATTTTCGAGAGTGATCCCTACAGTCGCCTGCAATACATCACCACAGAATTGCAAAAGGCAGACGTTTTCACCAAAGCGCTTGCACCAGCAAAGTTTCCGTCAGCACTGAAACTTCTCCGAATGGAGAAATGAGAGCAACGGAACTCTCCGTATGCCAGAGGCAAAAAGCCTCCGTTGATCAAGAAGCCACGCCGCTCAGTATTGACGAACCTGATTAGAGGTTTGGCATGCCTGTCGTGCGAAGGGGGAGTAGAAGATATACGAGCAAATCTGTACTTTTGCTTTGACTTGGTCAGGTATCTCCATCTGCAATGAGGCCTTGCTGCCCGCAGAATGGAGAAGGCTCACGCATCTTCATGTGCACACTCCACGCATGACATGTACAGGACGTCATATGCATCTGAAGTTAGGCAGTTCAACACGAGCTGTATACTGACGACTTTGGCTCAAGCGCCGCCCTTAGTGTAAAAAAAAAAGTGCGACCACGATTTGATTGCCATTCTTTTGAGGCTCAACAAACCATTGCCGAGCTCAGAGCCCGTAATCAGCAGCTGGAGAAATAACAGAATGAGCTATTGCAAAGGCTTTCAGAGCTTCAAGCCCAAGCCAGGCCGCCACCCGCAACGGCTTCACAGGCACCACCGGTTTCAGACCATAATGGCACGGACATTGGTGAAGCTTTGAAGGCGCTGGCATCGAGTGTTGGGGAAACCATGCGAGAGCTTAAGGAGATTGTTAGTCCAAAAGCCAAGAAGAAGCCCAAAACCAAGCCGAAACAATCAGCAAAGCCTCACGTGAACATGTTCACTGGTACCGTGACGGCCTCTGCACCTAACTCGTATGGGTATAGTTGTGCTCCGCGGTTGCCTGTATTCACTGGGGTTGGACTTCCTTCGCCGTCTCCGTCGAGGAAGGGATCATCGAAGCATCAATTGTTCTCTACGCCCAAGCCCCCTCCCGGTAGGCATCCTCCCGCGCCACCAGAAATGTTTGACATCGGTTCGGAACATGAGGAAGGGGAGGAGGAAGATGACATTGAGCATGATCCCGTAATTAATCCCGATGATGAAGATTACGAGGGTTCAACGTACCACATCAAAGACCTTCGCGAACTGAAGCTCCCCACTCTACCAGTGTCAGCTTCTGGTTTTAGATCGTGGAAAAACGGGATGTTAACGCAGTTCGGAAGTATAGATAAGTCGGGTGAGGCACGCATCTTGAGGTGGTTGCAGGCCGCACTCGATCCCAACATTACCGATCGGGCGATGGCTAAGATGCAGAGTGACTCAGATGGGTTGCCCCGGTTGGACGCATACCTCGCAGCTCAGGTCACTGACCCGAAACACCTCAAAGGGGAGTTCGGTGTTACAGCTCAGTCATTCGTTGAAAGGGCTCATGCGCTTGGAGCTTTACCTTCAGGGCGAGTCCTTCTTGCGATGCTGAGCAAGCGATTCCGACTTGATAGAATCAGGGGGGCAACGGTCTCACAACAGACTTTCCTTGCGATTCAGCTCGAGGGTTTTAGCCAACAACATCTTCAGACATTCCGTGAACGCGTGGAGTTCTGTTTGAATGGCTTCAGCCCAGACGCTTGGCCTGCCGAAAATACCATGTTCTCATGGTTATACGCGAAACTGAAACATTGCCGTTTGCTTTCCAGGGCCATTGACAAGATCAAAGATTCAAGTCCATCGAGCAACAAGCGCACTTTCAACTGGTTGCGGACTCAACTTGTTGAGCTCCTCGACGAGCTCCGGGAAGAGGCCAACGAGGCATCAATCAGAGATGCATTGTTGCGGCCCGGGACCAAAAGCCCATCAGCCCCGAAGAAAGGAGAGCAGCAGAAAGCGACACCAGCCTCTCCAACGCCTGCCGCTCCTGCTCCTCCAACCGGTCCCAAAGGTACCGGAAAGGGTGGAAAAGATCGGGAGCAGAAGGGTAAGGGCGATAAGGATAAGGGTAAAGGTAAAGGCGACGCCAAAGGCGGTCCGCCGAAGAAGCCGCCCAAGAAGTCAAAGGCAACCGGTGAAGGCAAAGGTGCAAAGGCCGAGAGCAAAGCTCCGCCAAAGGAGAATCCACCCAAAGCGCCATGCCTTTTCTTTCCGAAAGGAACCTGCAACCGAGGTGCAAATTGTCCATTCTCACATGAGACAGCTCCCGGAAAATCCACTGCGCCAAAGGCCAATGGAGCAGCTGCCACGGCAAAGAGCTCTGCCGCGGCTGTCGCCCTGATGCTTCCCACTACGGCTCAGGGTATCTCGGTCGATGGACGTTCCACACCGAGTGCGACAAGCTTTTGGAAAAGATCGGGACTGAGCTACTTGTTCCGCACCGTTGTCGGTTGGCTCTCTGTCTGTAGCCATGCCGTACCAGCTGTCCTGCCAAAGGTTACAGAGATAGCATTGCCAGGATACCAGACAGGTCCTTATCAGCTCGAGTGGATCGCTGATTCGGGAGCCGGTCGCAACTTGACGTCTCTCAAGGCGCTTCAGCGCCAAGGAATCCCACCTGATATAGGCATGCAAGCCTTTCAGGCCGAACAGCCGATTCACTTCTCCACCGGTAATGGCGTTGTCACTTCGCACGAAGTCTTGACCTGTGAGGGCCAAGACTTTGGCCAGAACACGGCATACCTCATGAACGATTGTCCCGTCGTAAGGTCGATGGGTGAGATAGTAAACGGTGGCCAGTGGCCAGTTGCCTTTCCTTTGGCTTCCTGGTCAATTGCCCTGCTTTCTCAAATCCAGCAACCACGTGCAAGCAGACCTTAGCCGGGCCCTGTTCGCCGATCGTGTTGAGGGAAAGGTGCCTGTTTTCAACTAACAAGTATCTTTCGCTGTTGCCGCGCACGCCACAAATGACAGGTCCCCGTCACCATCGTCCCCGTTGCTACCTCCTGGTGAGAGCTCCGCCGAGCCTGCCAGTCGAGTCCTTGATGAAGGATCTGCGCGCGCCGAGCCTTCAAAAGATGACGCAGCACAAGGAGACTCTGATGACGGAGAAGAACCCCTCTCCAAAGACGTACGCCTCGTGCGTGAGGCTGCATCATTGGATCATCGCCTGTGCCACTTCCCCAAGAACCCAGCTTGTCACATCTGTTCACAATCCCGAATGTACCGCAAAAAGGTCGAGAAACTTAGGCGTGACCCTTTGGTTGACCGCGGGGCTCTGCCTGAAGTAGAAGAGTTTGGAGAGCGTGTAGCCGCGGATGTGATAATCGTCGTCAAAAATAAGTTGAAGCCAAAGGACGGCAGTGAAGCTGGAGGTTTATTCCACCGTTGCTGCGGAATCCACGGTGCTTGTGGTAAGGGACGAGTTTTCTGGTTACTTACGAGCTTTCCCTCTCACTCAACGGAACACGGAAAACGTAGTGAAGGGCTTGCTACAGTTCATTGGCCGGCACGTGAAGAAGCCGATGATCATGTTCAAGAGTGACAATGCACGAGAACTCGAGGCCGCCTGCCAACAGTTAGGCTGGGTTGGTGAACCCACCCTCGCAAACCGCTGGCCGCATAACAGTGTTCTAGAAAGGGATATTAGGCCTTTACAGGAAGTAGCGCGTGCTGTCCACTTGCAGTCTGGTTTCCAAATCAGACCCGGTCTGTGGCCTCACAGTTGTGTCTACGCTGCTTTCGTGCTCAACTTGAAGCACAAGCTCAAAGACGCTGAACACACTCGCTACGTCGCTGCTGTTGGTTCTGAGTTTCCCGGTCGCCGCCTGTTGCTTGGCCAACTTGTCTTCTATCGGACTGACCCATCTCACAGAGGGAAGTTCGATCCGTCTGCTGCTCCCGGCTTGTTTGCCGGCTGGCGCCTCGACAGTGGACCAGAGTCCTACAAGGGTGTTTACCTCGTCTTACTTAGACTACAACCGTGTCAAAGACGACTCAGCAGGTGCATCCCTTCCAATCTCTGTCCCGCTTGAAGAACTCCACGTTCCTGAGGGCGAGCCTGTGCTCCCAATGCGGGCTGCTTTTGAAAAGGCGTTAGAAGGGTTTGCAGAACCTAAGTTTGAAGACGTATTGCTGGTCTAGAGATACCGTTTTCGCCTTTAGCTGTAGATGTTAAACCCTCTACAAGACACGAGTATATCACCCTTGACAGAATCATCAAATACGGCCCCACACCTGGATGCAGGGCTTGTAGCTTTGATTCTAAAGTTCACAGTCCCATTTGCAAAGTTCGTTTCGACGGATTAGTGCGCGCGGACAAGGTTGCAAGTGCTCGTGTAAAGGACAAAGTCCCTGTAGAGTCAGAGGCTGAGAAGGCACCAGAGCCAGAACTTGCCTACGAAGACGTTCTCGAGAGGGCCCAAGACAAGCTGCTCGAAGGCCTTCCCCCTGCAGAGCCGCGTGCGGTGTCGCATGCACCTGACGCAAACGACCATCTCTCTGACTACGAACCATCTGACGATGGCGGTTCGGCGCCAGTCGGCGGAGCGACAGCGCAGACTGCCTCTGAGCCTGCGCCTGACCACCTTACCACTGTCCGCACAGTGCCAGACCAAAGTTTCTTGGAACGTGACCACTCACTGCGCCGCTCCTGCAGGTTTGAGGCTTTGCCCGGAAAGAATCAACTCGTTGAGTACTGCTGCGAAGACGACAGCGAAATCGGCCTTGCAGCAGCAAACCACCGTGTAGACTGCTTGAGGCTCGCAACGTCCACGCTTGACCTTGCTGAGCCAACCCACGTTGAGCAAGTTGTTGGCCAGCTCAAGCCTGGAGCTTGCGGTCATTGTAGCTTGCCTTCTGCGGACTTTTGTCCTTCGCAGCGTATGAACAAACACCGTCACGGTGCAGCGTACACTGCCAGACTTAAGAAGCGACAGCAGCATACACGTGTCATGCTCAGTCTTGCTCTCCAAGTAGCATCCCATATGATTGAGCAGGGGGGTCATGTAAGCTTTCAGTGGCCTGCAACCAACCAGCTTTGGAAAGAACCGTCGTGGCTAGAGTTTGAAGAGAAG